AGCAGAAGTCATCTCAGGGCACTGAACAGGAACATTCATATACATTAAAAAAACTAAGTTAACACCATCTGAGGAGCAGACTACTTTGAGTTTAACTTTATCGCAAACTCTCATCTTGAGCAAGAATGAAGGCAACAGTGGACAGGAACAACTCCTTCATGAGGAAGCTCGACCAGCTGGGTTAGAGAGGAAAGAAAGGAGGAACAGATACACAATGGCAGGTCGCGATCACATGTTAAGATAGAAATAAAATCTAAATCAAATGAAAACTATTCAATTTTAACAATTCATTTTAGGAAATAAGTTCAATTTGTCCTCCAGTATTCTAAGCATATGGTAGCATAACAAGCCAACCCTAATAATAGGATTTATCAAAAATGAAAGTCTTAAGCCCAGTCTTAAATCTGGACAATGTGTCAGTCTTATTATGGACAGAAACTGGGAGTTGGTTCCACAAGAGAGGAGCCAGATAACTGAAAGATCTTTTTCCCATTCTGCTTTTGGAAACTCTAGGAACCGCAAGTAATCCTGCAGTCTGTGAGCAAAGTGTTCTGTTGGGAAAATATGGAACAATAAGATATTTAATAGAAGATGGAGCTAGGTTGTTGAGAGCTTTGTAGGTTAGAAGTAAGATTTTGATTTCAATTCTGAATTTGACAGGGAGCCAATGGAGAGAAGTACAAAGTACATGTCACATGTCTCATATGTCATGTCGTCAGTGCAGTTACAGCGTGCACTCTCACTTCTTCATTACCTGCAGTGTTCCTTTACTGCAAACTGAGCTCGGCAAAAATACCTTTTCTTACTCTGCTCCTGTAACCTGGAGCACCTTACAACAAGATCTGAAGCTGTCCACTCTGATTTTTAAGGGATTTTAAACATTTGATAAGGTCATTAGAAAAAACTAAACAAATATGTTCTTGTTCTTAGTATTTTACCTTGTTTCATATGGCACTTTGATGTTATTGTTTTTTTACAACACTATTGCTTTTAATTGCTTTTATTGTTCTTTATTGTTGTCTATATGTTGTCCGTCTAAAACAGATCTCTCTTGTAAATGATTTCTCATGAGTTAATGAGATTACCTGCATAAACAAAGGTTAAATAAAATTTTAAATTTAAAAAATCTGACACTTAAGTTTGGCTTTATTCAGGATAATCATTTCTTGTACCGTACTCATTCACTCTGTCACTTCCATTCTTGAGTTTTCAGAAACTGTTTGGACTTTTTTTTGTTAGGTCCATAGTATGTCAAACCTTTTTAACAATCATTTTAGCTGATTGTTAACACACTCACTCTTTAGAACCACGGGAAATGATTATAGCTCTTTGTAACCCAGTTTTACATATATGCAATTTGAACAGTTACACTGAGCATGCATGTACAAACAAATATAGAAGAAAACCGCTTGCACATTTTATCTTATTAGGATTAGTGTGTCTAGTCATAACCTTAAGATAACAAGAATTCACATCTTGGCCCTAACCTCAACCACCCTCTGTGATGTTGTTTTGCTGCATTAGGACAGAGCTTTGGTCCCCAAAAGGATTACTAGTGCTGACAAGGTCAATGATCATATTGGGAAAGGTCCCACTGGCATTAACAAAAACAAATACACATCCTCACATATCGCCATTCTTTAAAACTGATGTCTTTGAAGGATGTGTAGATTTCTACAAAGGGCTTTGCAATGGACCTAATTGTGAAAAGCATGCCGTAAATACACCTGGCTTGTTTTGAAAGAAGTATAATTGCTCTGGCCATATGTTATAGACTTAATACATGGTTCCTCACATGCCTGGGGAATTTGGGGCTGCAAATAAAGAAAATGATTAAACTTGACTGGTTCAGCTGCCTTTTTGTTCCGTTATATCCCAGGAGTAACATAGGCTGAGAAGATGGATTTGGCTGCCGGCTGGCTGTGTTCAGCTTCTATAGGTTACAAGATTTTCCTTTATAGTGGGGGATTTCAGAGAAGTTGCCGCAATCATTTACTTTAAGGCTTCGGCTTAAAAGAGTCGTGAGTGACGAAGACAAAATAAGCAAAAAATAGTCTAAATGAAACCTGTGAGGGTGGTGTTGTGATGTCTCCAGGGTATTTCCAGTTGCAAAAAATAGGCCTGATACGTGCAAGCAATTGTTAAAATTGAGTCACTTTAGCAGCACTAAAACAAAGATTTGGGTAGCACCAGTGGAGACATTTTTAAAGGGAAAAGTGCTACCATAATGTATAACTAAAGCAACGCAAAGAAAATGGCTTTCAGTTACTCTGATTTATATAAAATCCCATTTTATCCAAAGACTGTGTTTTATATTTAACTTTAGATAACTTTTGGCCATTTCAGCCACATTCCCAAGATGCCTTTTGGTCACCATGAAAGAATACATGTCGCTGCAACACGACAAATATCCAGACAAACAAAAATAGTTGTAGATGTTAATGAAGACAGTTGACAGATATAGAAAGGATGATGTAAGATCTTGTTGGCTCGAACTGAAAACACAGCTGGTCCATCATTAAAACAGCATCAGGTCAGCTCCATGTCACCTCTCACAGCTCAAGGAATTTTACATGATGCATATCACTGTTAACAGGGTTTTAATACTGACAGGAGGGAACGCAAGCTCTTTGGTGTCTGCTCAGTCAGTTATACTGTGATAAAAATATAGGGATTCAGCTGTGGGGAAACAAGACACAGTAATCAACAAGTAAATATTTATAGATTGCAAATACATTTGAGTATGTGTTAATTCATCTCTTCTAAGTTGACAGAATATTTGAACAGCTTCTAAAAGACAGAGTCAATGTTCCCCAGTGTCATACTAATGCAAACATACCAAGTTTGTGAGCTCTAATGACCACAAACACAAAACGAGTTGTGGAATAAAAACCTTGAATATTTTGTTGTCGGTATCAGCATCATCAGATCATGGTTTGTTTTCTGACATAAATAATGCAAATAAATAAATAAAAACTTGAACTGCAAAACCTGAATCTCAGTCCCAGCTGTACCGTTTTGTATGTAGGTGCACAATTACACACTTCAGTCCTTTAGAGAATCACACTTCCATCCACTAGTAAGGACTGGTCATTTACAATAAATTTGATATAAACGTAGCATGACAGAATATCATCAAACTCCCTTCTTGCTTCAAAATATAAGCTCAAAAGATTGGGTATGATCCAATTCCCTTCATGCCATCACTGCTGTCAGAAAATTCTATTCATCTTCTTTTTCATTTTCTCTTGTAACAAGAAGCTGTCAAGGCCCAAGGGCTTTGCTTAGCAGTTTGCTTGGCTATATTTATAATTGGACTCTGTCAACAGTGTCCAGTGCAACTCAAGTGCAAGGTCTGTTTTGGCAGCTAGTGCGTACTGATTTCAACACATGCCGGCTGTGAGATGGTTTGTCTGTCATTAACACATAACTATGGGACAATGCAGACACAATGGTTGCTCCCACATGCTTTTGGATGGAAAGGAAATTATCTAAAGAGATCAAAGAAAACTGAGCACAGCTGAAGTTAAATTCTTCCAGACGATGTAAAGCTTCATGAGTTCGACTCAGTTACAGAGACACATTATGTGTTACTAAACAAAGGTTGATTGACAAACTGAACATTCAGAGCTGTTCTGCCTGTCATACTGTAGAATTGCAAATTTGAGCTACATAAATCAGATTTTTTTTGTGTGTTTTGTTTATCACTTGACATACTAATACTGGTTGGTAATAACACTTGAAACGCCAAAAGGAATTGAGTTTTTTTTCATGCTTATCTATCGGATCATCAGAAGCCCAGCTAGGGCTTGTTTTAATCTACTTTATATCTGCAATTCCTATCAAAGTTTGCAGCAGCGCTCTTCGTGTTCTAATCAAATCTACAGTCAATAAAGCTCAGTGATTTTGCCCTGCCCTGCTGTGTTGCCAAGCATCTGGGTGGGTGTTCTGCTAATCAGCGCTGGTTCCTCACATACTGCGAGCGGTGCAAAAAGAGGTCGGTTCATGACTGAGCCTGTCAAGAGTCAAGGGAAAACGCTCTGCTTAGAAAAGTGTCAGACACCTAGAGGACAGGAAGAAAATGGGACAATGTCACTGCACAGCTCCAGTAAATACAGCAGAACTTTGATCTAAATGAGTCCTCAAACTCAATGGGATTACCTGTCTAAATAAAGGCTACCACCACACTAAACTTTTAGTTCAGTATCTGTAAAAGTGGCTAAGTTATAGCCATTTTTGTGTTTGGTAAGGTCAATTGCCTGTGGTGGCCATCTTGAATGAAGACTAACTCTAAAAGATAATCAGTTGTAGATATCTAATCAGTGATTAGGACATTTTGCTAACAGACATGCAAATAAACATGCATACAGGCAAAAACATTTAACCACGTTAACATAGAAAAGCAAATAGCAAATCATAGAAAGAAATAGCAAAAGGAGGAAAAATACACGTTTGTGAACAAAAAGAAAACCAGTAGGGGGAGACTAAGTTCTTTATCCGATCACAGTCAAATTCAATAATTTGTTAACACAGAACTGCTTTTATGTGCTTTCTTTCATTTGAGTGTTGCATGATCAATTTTGAAACGCTCATCAACTTTAGACACATTTTCTAGCTTTTTTTTTTTTTTAACTGTTTAAGCATTGAAATTAAAACAATCAGAGCACAGAGGTTTACTTTTTTGTGATTCCCCTTCTTTTTTTCTTCCTGTTTTTAAGGGGCACTGCAGGCTACACCGCCTTAATGAAAGGTCTGCTTCTCTCGCAAACATCACATTAGAAGAACCTTTAAAGATCTGTCCTACCTGGCACCGTTAACAGTTGACTGACACCGACTTCGACCATTAACATCCCGACAAACGCATTCCTGTGGAGACGTCGACCAATCAGCAACGAGGAGGGCGTGGCTCTCCTTTACTCCAGCAAAGCAGGAGTATGAAGTTCAGTTTACAGCGAACAGCTGCTGTGAGAGAATGGTGCACCTTCGCGCGCACAGGTGCGTTTTATTGTTATCCAACTCTGCGTGCATATGTCTATAACTTTAGCTGCTGTGTGTGGTTTGACAGGAGTGCATGCACAAAGTTCTGCAGGTCTTCGCTGCGGTTCGGCTCCCCAAATGGCTCGGATTATTATTTTTGCCCCGCATCTGCACGGGACTAGCGCTGCTTTGATTCTGCTGCTCGCGCTCATCCTCACAGGTGATGCAGCAGCCGCAGATGTTTTCGACAGCTACGGATTGTCGTACGCCCTGAGGGCTGAGTTTTCGGAAGACGCAATATTGGTTGCCAATAATGGGATCCGCGTGCCTTTCGGGAGATCTGTTTCCATTGATCCCATCAACGATTTGGTTATCCAAGTTCAGCCCGGTGACAGATGCAGCGTTACAGTTTTGGATAACGACCCCCTGTCTCAAAAGCCGGGGCACCTGTCTCCGAAAAAGTTTCCATGTGAATTTGGCCCCAGCGACGTGAAGTACTCTCACTTTGGCTCCAGGAGTCCTCCGAGGGACAGAGTGAGGTTACAGCTCAGGTATGACACGCAAACGGATACAATTATAATCCCGTTCATGATGGAGGTGGAGGTTATTTTTACACAGCTGGAAGTGGTGACAAAGAATATGCCACTTACTGTTGACAAACTGTTTGGCACAAGTAATCCCATAGACAAAGGAATATTGGAATTTACCTTTGATAGGAGTGCACAACAATGTAAACTCGTCTCCCTCACCAGTGGCAGCATGCTGCCCAGATATGGAAAAATTGTGGATGACAGCCTGGGAACAATGGTAGACTGTGATGATTTTATTAAGATGAACACGCACTACCAGCACACTTTTGCTTTAAAGTCCCCCAACAGAGATTACATCCCCATGCTTGTGGAATTACAGGACAGGGAAGGGAACGTGCTCAAGCAAGAATTCTTCCAGATTCTGGTGAGAATAAAGGATGGGGAGGACAACACCCCTCCTAAACCCAGCTTTGTTGCCATGATGATGATGGAAGTTGACCAGTTTGTAATGACAGCAGTGACTCTGGATATGTTGGCTGCAGAGGATGTGGAGTCCAATCCTGATGAATTAATTTTCAATATCACCTCCCCCCTCACATTTGATGAAGGTTATATAGTCAGCACAGATGACAGGAATTTACCAATAACTTCATTTTACCAAGGAGACCTCAAAGAATTGAAAATTGCATATAAACCTCCAGCTGTGGATTCAGACACTGAAAGAATTTTTCAGATTGAGTTTGAGGTGGTGGACACAGAGGGGGCTGTATCAGACCCATTTGCTTTCATGATTGTTGTTAAGCCTATGAACACACTGGCCCCTGTGGTCACAAGAAATACAGGGCAGTTACTGTATGAAGGTCAGTCCAGGCCTTTGTCTAGCTCACAGAATCTGGAAATAAGTGATGAAGATAATTTAGATAAAGTCCAAATTACTGTCATTGATGGCCTGAGGCATGGAGAGTTGACCATTTTGGGTTCCAGGAGAAAATTTTTTACCCCAGCTGACCTCGATTCTGGAGTAGTTACCTACAGACATGATGGCAGTGACACATACAGTGATAATATTATTTTCAGAATGACAGATGGCAAACATGAAGTGGAGTTTTTGTTCCCTATCACCGTTGTGCCAACAGATGATGAGCCGCCCATTATCAATGCCAACACTGGTTTGATTTTGTTCAAAAACCAAATGATGCAAATTTCCTCGCTTATGCTCAGTGCAGCTGATATCGATTCAGAAGATTCAACAATAAAATTCACATTAGAGCCTCCTTTTTCAACAATCGGGCAGGTGTTGCTCCGCCAGTCTGAGGCACCAGAGGACCCATCTTCCTGGAAGTTTAATACAGATGATGAAATGTATGAAAAAGTTGTAAATGAATGGCTGCAGCAGGATATTAGTGATGGAAAACTATTCTACAAGCACTCTGGGCTCCATAGCACCAGTACAGTCATGGATCAGTTTGTATTTAAAGTACAAGATGACAATGATCCACCTAATCAGTCAGGTAAAAGCACTTTTATAATAAAAATTCTCCCAGTTGATGACATTCCACCTGAGGTGTACCCTGGTACCACCCTACAAATGACTGTGCATGAATATCAGCTTACATACTTTAAGAAAAACTCCCTCCGGTACACAGACCTTGACTCAGAGGATCGGGATCTCAAATACACAATTATCCAACCACCAACAGATACAGATGATAATAACCCTGTTGTATTGGGAGCTCTTGTGTTGACTGAAAACCCCAACATTGAAGTCACAAGTTTCACTCAGGCACAAATTAACCACCATAAAATATCTTACAAACCACCTGATCTTGAGCTTGGGATTTCCACGCATGTTTTACAGTTCAAGTACACCGTGGAGGATGATTCTGGAAACAGTGCAGGAGGATTTTTCACAATATTTTTAAAGCCTGTGGATAACAAACCACCACAAATAACAAACTCTGGGTTTACTGTGCATGAACGTGGCAGACATATCCTAACTAGAGCCGAGCTGGACACCATAGACACAGACACAGACAGCAACAAAATAATCTTTGCTGTTACACAACCTCCTCTTCATGGGCAGCTGCAATTTACATTCACTGACATGAAAAAGGGTGATACTTTCAACTTGCAGCACATTGGAAATGGCATGATCTCATACATTCATAGCGGAGATGAATCATCAGTAGATTTAATACAAATAGATGTCAGTGATGGGGTGCACATTGTCCCAATAACTATAAAGATTACCATAAAACCAGTTGATGATGAAACTCCAACTATCATTCTTCCAGCTGGCACAATAGGCTCCTACTTAGATGTACTGGAAAATGAAGCTACAGAAATCACAAGTAATGTCATCCAGGGAAGAGATGAGGACACTGATGACCTCCGACTGACCTTCATTGTTGAAGACAAACCATCATTTGGTGAAATTCTGGTGAAAGGGGTTCCATCTGACACATTCACTCAGGCTGATATCATTAATGGATTTGTGGTCTATGCTCACACCAGTGGAGAGATAGGCCTGAACACAAAAGAAGACTTTTTCAATCTCACTCTGACTGATATGTCTGATGAGTGGACTGTGGGAGGAAATAAAATCACAGGTGTTAGAGTGCATGTAACTATTCTTCCCCTGGACAGCCAGGCTCCAGAGGTCTTTGTTAGGCCGCAGTTCACTGTTACAGAGGGAGAAAAGAATGTCATTCAGATCCTTCATATAAGTGCCAATGATGTTGATACCCCCAACGATGACCTTCTCTGTACAATTATTGTACAGCCCACTTCAGGGTATGTGGAAAACATCTCTCCAGCCCCAGGCTCAGAGAAATCCAGGTCTGGCACAGCTATTAGTGCTTTCACCATCAAGGACATCAGACAGAATCACATTTACTATGTTCAAAGCATTCACAAAGGAGTCGAATCAGTAGAGGACAGATTTACCTTCAGATGCTCTGATGGCATCAATTTCTCTGAAAGGTACTTTTTCCCCATCTCCATAATCCCCTCTAATGATGAAAAGCCTGAGATTTACATGAGAGAATTTATAGTTATGGAGGGGATGAACATAGTTATTGACACTCCCATCCTGAATGGTGCTGATGCAGATCTCCCTGCTGATCAGCTCACATTCTTTATCACCAAACCTCCCAGGCATGGATTTATTCTCAACCAGCTCACCACTGGCTCCCACCCAGTATCTAACTTCACTTTGGATCAGATCAGGGAGGCCTCCGTTATTGTGTATGAGCATGATGGCTCAGAGACAACAGAGGATCGTTTTGATATTATTCTCACAGATGGAAAGTTCAGCGCAGAGAAAACTGTGATAGTTATGGTAATCCCTGTGGACGATGAAACTCCAAGGATGGCCATCAATGATGGCCTTGAAATTGAGATAGGTGAAGTTAAAGTAATTAATAACAATGTTTTAAAAGCTACTGATCTGGACTCTGAGGATAGTACGTTAACTTATATTATTAGATATGGGCCCGGTCAAGGATATTTACAAAGAACAATATCATCTGGGGAATTGCAAAATATAACTGTCGGGATGAATTTTACACAAAATGAAGTGGATCAGGAACTAATTGTTTACATCCACAATGGGCAAGAGGGAATTCGTGATCTCATCAAATTTGATGTGACAGATGGATTCAACCCTTTAATTGACAGATACTTTTATGTTACAATTGGTGGCATTGACATGGTCTTCCCTGATGTGGTTAGTAAGGGTGTATCCCTTAAAGAGGGTGGCAGAGTTACTTTGACAACTGACCTTCTCAGTACAAGTGACCTTAACAGCCCAGATGAACACTTAGTTTTCACCATCACCCGTGCTCCTGTGAGAGGGCACTTAGAATGCACTGACATACCTGGGATGCCAATCTCATCTTTTACACAGCTCCAGATGGCAGGTAATAAAATCTTCTACATCCACACCGCTGACGACGAGGTGAAAATGGATAGCTTTGAATTTGAAGTGACTGATGGCTACAACCCAGTGTTTCGCACTTTCCGTATCTCCATCACTGATGTGGACAACAAAAAGCCTGTAGTAACAGTACACAGTCTGGTGGTGACAGAGGGAGAAAACAAGCTCATCACACCATTTGAACTAACAGTAGAAGACAGAGACACAGTTGATCGGCTCTTGAAATTCACGGTTACTCAAATCCCAGTCCATGGTCGCCTGCTCTTCAACAACACCCGACCTGTCACCTCTTTCACAAAGCAAAACCTGAATGAGAACTTGATCAGCTACAAACATGATGGCACAGAGAGTTCAGAGGACAGTTTCTCCTTCACTGTCACAGACAGCGCCCATACAGACTTCTATGTCTTCCCTGACACTGTTTTTGAGACTCGAAAGCCCCAAGTGATGAGGATTATGATTCTTCCTGTGGATAATGGGGTGCCACAGATTGTAGTAAACAAAGGTGCCTCAACAATGCAGGTTCTGGAGACAGGTCATCTGGGTTTTGTCATCACCAGCAAGACCCTTAAAGCAGAGGACAGAGACAGCATACATGGTTTTGTGACATTTAGGATTACTGCAGGCCCAGAACATGGCTACCTGATCAATCTTGGAAGAGGAAATGCCACTATCACAAGCTTCACACAAGGTAAGAGACCTGCTTTTCAAATTACTTTGCAATATAGTTATATTCTACAGCATTTGTAATATGTATTCTTAAAATATTCTTACTGAAGCCTAGGTTTAATTCTCAGAGGAGTTTGATGTGAATCTTAAGCTCATCTCACATTAAACATCCTGTGCTAAATGTACTCCCAATTTCATGCCTGACAAACAGAATAACACATCTTTCTGTCATAAAGGCTTTTGTTAATGTGTCATCCAGTGGAAAGTCTGTTTAGATAGAAGAAGTATGTATGTGCCCCAGGCTCCTGATCTCCAAAGTAGAGCATTTATCAAACAGTGCCTAGCGTGATTCGCTTTGAGAGAGAACTGCTGTAAATTTGTACATTACTGCCGAGCAGTTTTCTAAGAAAAACCAAGCGTATTACAGCTATGATGACAGATATTATAGACAAGGAAACATGTCACACAGAGGGAGACTGGCTCAAAGCAAATCACTGACTTTGTAAACAACACAGGGTGCTGCTGAAGCTTCATTTCAAACAAACCAGAGGGACGTCTTGGTTAATGGCAAATCTCTGTTTACCAGCACAAGTATTCTGTCAGTGCTCATGTTTTCCCTGCTTTTATTTACTAAACCAGTGTGAAAACCTCCCTCGTGGACTAAATATTCAAAAGTAAACAGTGAAAACAGACACTTTTTAACTGTAAGTAGATTTTCTTATTTTGCTCGTTGCTTTTGGGGGCAGATGTTTTGACATTAAATATTGAATACAGTACACACGCAAACCTCACATTCTAAAAGATACTCCATTATAAAAGATCCAGTCATGCATTGCACCATCAGCATGACAGCCATGAGAGTGATGGTGCACCAAGAGTCAAGAAACCGCTCAATATCAGATGGGATAGAAACGGATATATGGTTCTTTTAACCAGGCATTTGTATTTTAAAACTCCTGGCACTATCAGCATGTATATTTCATTACAGAGCCTTAGTCTGTATCATGAAGCATGCAACAAGATTAGTTTTTTTGACAAAACAAACAATTTGAACATATTTTCCTGCTTGTTATGATTTCAGCAAATAGTACGTGAATATTTATTTGTAGGATGTAACTGTCATTTATACAAATATGTTGTTTTACAGCTGAAATTGATGACATGAACATATGCTACGTTCTGAGGGATGGTGACACTGCCACAAATGATGTCTTTCACTTCTCCATCGAGGATAGTGGTGAGTTCTTTATGGCTCAATATCTACTCTATATCACGGCAATGGTAAGGTTTGAAAAGGGATCCTAATCATACAGACGTATTGCCTTGGGAGTGTTGGATTTTTCAAGCATGAGAAAGGCTTGGACACACCACAGTGGCCCAATTAGGCAAAAAGTGTGTGCAACGTGAGCAAAATTAATTTTAGAGCCATAATATTACTCTGTAGTTAAGATGATAAAATGTTTCTAGTAAATGAGAGACAAAAATATACTATTTATTTGGTAGATGTGTTTTGTATCTGCAGGGGTCTGTTTATCTTTTATTAAACTAATAGCTTTAACAAAAGAAATGAACAACAGGGTTCCTTGCTTATTAAAATTTTATCTAAACATTCATGTTAGTCTTATTGCAAACATCATAAGCAGGCTTGCCTTATGGCTCCGACCCATAATTACCCATTATTTTTTAGCAAGCAATGAATCATTTAGCAAATGACTAATTAGTAAAGCAATTAGCGTAGACCTTCCCTCTAACGAAGACTTGTAATCAGGCACAGGCTCAATGAAAGTTTGAGGCAATCATGTCTGTGTTGCCGATTAGCAGAGGCAGCGTGCCTTACAGTGTGTCCTTTTTACTACCCTTCAGCTGTAATGAGTGAGCACAAAGACCCACTCTAATGGGGGGCCTCTTTTCCCACAAGTACTTCAGTAGCCCCTGTACTCATTTTCTCATTTCCCATTTCTCGGCACAAATCTGTTGCTTCAGTCGAAATCAGCAGCAACAGGTGGATGAGGTGATGATGAGTGATGAGTGAAAAGTAGGAGCTGGCTGTAAGTTACAGTTCTTTATCTGAGCTTGTATTTGTTTTGAGCACGTTTGAAACTCCTTTGTCGCTGAGGTTCCATTAGGCCCCCTGTTATTACCCCGTTTTGGTTGTTTGTCAGGGATCTCTAGTGGTTTTTCACCCCCTCTGTCATTCTCTTGATGACATACTTGCATCGCACACTAGTAGTTTGTCCACCAGATCTGGCATTTAGACTCACTTTCTAACTTGCTCCCTACAATTTTTTACATTTCTTTTAGACCTGATAAGTCAATTCAAAATAGTATATATTTTTCCTCTGCTCTTAATCACAGTAATGTACTCACTGTCTGACACAACACACACTTCTAAAAATATATAATTTTCTGACATTTGATTTGTGCTATATTGTTGTATATAAATGCCTTTTCAAACATATAAATAGATGACTCACTTCACTGTAGGTTGTGAGGCAGTTAATGGACTTTAAAAAAATGTATTTAAGCTGTGTTAGTGACAGCCCTGACTCCCTGACGACTATAGCCTTTTCAACAGCCATCTTGTGGAGGAACTTAATGGTGTACATGGGCACACGGCTGCTCTGTGTCATGTTAAACAACAGAAAACATTCTCTTCACTTTAAGTTCACTAGGTTATTGCAACATTACAATACCCTTTGGGAAAAGGTTTTCCTGTTGCGTCACCTTAGTGATATTACAGAAGTGAATGTGTTTCTATCAGTTGTAAGTGCAGCACGGGTTTTTGATGAGGTCCCATGAGCCAGAATTTGTTCCCTTTTATGTTTGTCCCTTAATATCATGGTCAGTGTTTTTTAAGTACATTTACTGTAGCTAACATGCAAACAACAGACAAAAAGAAAACCAGCAAAATGTGTGTTTGTTGTCTCTGTTTCAAAATGTGGTTACCATATTAAAGTAAGAACTTCAAAAATGAAGCAACTAACAACTCACTCTTATAAGCACTATGTTACTATGGTCATGATTTTTTGCTGTTTTTTGCAGAAATGTTAAATAAATGGAAAGTGACAAGTCATTTATTAAGTGTATCCTATATACCAACAAAGTTAAGCTCAGGTTCTCTGAACGGTTTCTTTGTGTTGAAATGTTTCATCTTTCATCCAAAGGATTTCATCAGTCCGAGGAGCCACAACAAACCCAGTCTTTTAAGTAGCATACTCACATAGTGGGCCAACCAGTATGATGGTGATAAGATGGTTTCTAGAGTCCACCCTCTCCCCCCACCGACTCGTCTGTCGCAGCCATGGCCAAAGTGTTCATCAACGTTCATGCTCAATTTATATTTTTTTTTACCTGGATTATTGAACATGAACTTTGATGTTTTGAACCATTTTGGTCATGGCTTCATCAGATGAGTTGATGGGGGAGAGGGCGGACTCCAGAAACCATCTTCTCACCATCAGACTGGTTGGCTCACTATGTGAGTGTGCTACTTATGGGACTAAGTTTCTTGTGGCTCCTCGAACTGATGAAGTCTTTTGGATGAAAGACGAAACTTTTCAACACAAAGAAACTGTCCAGAGGACATGACATAACTTTGTTTGATTTTTTTACCAGGATTATTGAGCATGAACTTTGATGTATCCTACTGTATATATTATTTGGACTGCTGACCACTAGATTAATTTAAATGATGAAAGTGCTATACTTGGGATTTTAATTTAACTGTCAGAGGCTGAGGTTGTTTTCTGCAGCTATGCATCTGCTTCTATACTCTGTACTTAACATGCAATTGGTGTGTAAGAGCCCAATTTTAAATGTTGTTGAGCTTGACCTGCTCTCATTCACATCAAGTTTGTGTTTGAGGTTTGGCTCTTGGTGTTGTTGTGCCGCTGATTCTTTTCAAATTTAAAATGATAATCAACTGATTTAATAAGATGTGTTTTGCTTTATGTTCTTTTACTAATTAAACTTGGCTAAATAAGAACAAAAGTTGAACCTTTAACAACAAAAAGCTACAAGATGATTAACCAGCATTGCTTGACCCATTTTGAATAAAATAGGTCTAAACCCTAATACTCTCAGGGTGGTCTCTTTTACTGGACTGTGAGCAGGTGGCAAACGGCATTCATCAGGGAGTCTCCCAAGTGTCTTATAAATTTTGGATGGCTCTCAGCTTCCTTGCTTGAGTTGCAGAGCCACACAGCCCTGTTGCTAGAGTTTTAAACAATTTCAAAAGACATTGTGAGACAGCTTTTCCAGTCAAAAAGTCATTGTGGATGTCATTAACCCATCTGAAATTTGCTGCAGGCATCTCCAACTTGTCTCAGAGTGATATTTTGATTTTGACGGGCAGAGATGGGCAACAAAAACTGTGCACCAATGACCAAGAATTAAGTTTTTCTAGGCTTATTCATGGAAATAGGCCATGCTTTTTAAAAACTGGCTGCTCAAAATGCAGCCCCACAGCCTGATTGCCATTTGTTTGCAAACACTCAAAGTTGAGACAGTGGAAAATTTACTTTTTATGTAATTTTCCCACAATTTAGAGTCACCAACAAGTCTGCCCACAGTTACTTCTCAGTAAAACACCAACTTTAATCCTATAGAGACATTAAAATTGGAACATATTGAATTGTATGCATTATTATGCATCTCCATCCATCCATCCATCCATCCATTAACTTTCTTTTTGGGTCGCAGGGGTCACTGGTACCCATATCCAGCCATCACTATGTGAAAAGCGGGGGACACCCTGGACAGGTCTCCAGTCCATCACAGAGACACTTGGGGGCTGAGATGGTATAGAGGCAGGGCAGCGGCCCGGGACCCGAAAGTCCCAGGTTCGATCCCCGGTCACTGTACACCTCGTGGTGTCTCTGGGCAGCACACACCAAAATGCCCCCCGGGTGCTTTCAATAGCTGCCCACTGCACAACCTGGTGGTGGATGGGTTAAATGCAGAGACTAATTTTCACCATTGTATGGAAACATAGTGATGACATTGTGATGACATTATTATTATTATTACATAGAGACAAACGAGACAAACAAACATTCACTTTCTCACTCACACCTAGGGACAATTTAGTGTTAACAATCAGCCTAACATGCATATTTTTGGTTTGTGGGAGAAAACCGGAGCATCTAGAAAAAACCCACACATGCACAGAAAGAACATGTGATCTCCACCCAGAAAGGTCCCTAGCTGGGATTTGATCTAGTGACCTTCTCGTTGAGAGGCAGCAGCTCTACTAACTGATCCACTGTGCTGCCTGCATTGGTGTCAATGACCTATTTTGGAAAAACTTAACACCTTAAAAATTGATGTCACAAAATGAACAGCTTGGTCCAGAAACCTCTTTAGATTAATTAGAGAGTTTTTTATTTACCATACCATACCACTTTATTTATAGAGCACTTAAACCAGTGACAAGGCCAACCAAAGTGCTGTACAGACAAAACAACGGGTAACACACAAAGCAATATACAAAATGAGGTAAATCAGAATATGGTAAATGGTAAATGGACTGTACTTATATAGCACCTTTCTATCTTATTTCAAGATACTCAAAGCGCTTTACACTAAAATTTGTGTCCTCATTTACCCATTCATACAGCACTCTACTAGATCTCTACAAAGCTAATTGAACAAAACATTCTAATGAGACTAATCAGAGCTTTATCACATTCATACACCGATGGGACACACATCAGAAGCTATGAGGGGTTCAGTGTCTTGCCCAGGGACACTTCGACATGTGACTACTGGTGGATTCGAACCCCCAACTCTTGCATTGGAGGACGACTTCTCTAACCACTCAGTCACAGCTGCCCGCATAGACATAAAAACGATGCAGATAATGACGACAAACCAGTGTGGAGCATACAGGATCAAAACACAGATCATCTGGTGTTGAAAGCCACTGAATAGTAGTGGGTTTTTAAACGGGACTTGAAAACTGAGAGGGAGGGGGCCTGTCTGACAAGCAGAGGTAACTCGTTCCAAAGTCTAGGTCCTGCTGCAGAGAAGGCCTTGTCACCTCTGCGCTTAAGACAAGATCCTGGAACTGTGAGGAGCAACTGGTCCGCTGGTCCGTTTATTTGAAACAAAAGTGTGTGTGGGGGGGGGGGAGGGAGGGGGGTTGGCTAGTAATAGGGGTCTGCTCTTGTCATTTTAAATCTGGTAATTACCGTGTTTCAGTGGACTCCAGCATTCCCCTATATTCTGAGGATTCAA